TCCGCCCCGAGAATCGCTTTATCCGACCTTGCTCACTCGACTTACGCAACTGCCCTATACGCCGGATACAAAGGAATGACAGGCCGAACAGTAAACCACCAGGAAGTGGTCGTCTCGATAATTCGGATCATCGCGAATCGTGGACAAAATCGAGTCGGATCTCCGTGATCGAGTAAAAGGGGAGTTATCAAGGAATTCTCCCCTTTAACCCCTCCTGGAATCCTGGAAAATGTCCCAGGAGATCCTCGGCGCTTCCTCCTTGGAGTGTCCCAGAGGGTGTGGCTGTGGGAATTTATTACTCGTCTCGATATACCGAGCCTCGGCCCAAGGGGGTATAAACTATAAATAATATATTCACCGAGGCTAGTTACACCGTGCGTGTCAATAGGCGGAGTATATACTCGGGCCGGCTTATATGGAAAACCGTATTTCACCGAGGACGTCGCGGAACCGGGATGCGCTCCCCTCCCTTCCTTTCCCAGGACGCGCGTATAATTTCCAGCCCGGCGAGGGTGGATCGGTCGTTATACATCGCGAGATAATATCTACTCGGCGAGCGCGATAGAGGATGATATTAATGTCCTTAAGGACGTCGCGATCGTACGAGATAATTGCGCCAGAGTGGAAGGGCGCCGCTCGTGCTCCTCGGGGGGAGGACCTCTCTTTTTTATCCGCAAACCTTTATCGGGATGGTTTTTCATATTTTTCTACCGGATGCTTTATCGTCCCGCGGGGCGTCGCTGACGTAAATCGGAGAGAGGAGTTTTAGATGGGAGAAAGAGAGAGAAGGACACACCCCCGAGGAGGCACGCCGCATTCCTCGCTGAGGGCGTGATGGCATTTCGCGAGGATACGTACTTGACGAATCCCGCCGAGTCGAGGTGGAGGTGCGTCGCGAACGTGCGTAGTTACTCACCGAACACGTGGGACCCTTCGTCCTCCCACCTTAATAATTCCTTTGCAGAGGCATTTTCCTCGTAATTTCCCGGAACAGAATTCACATTTCATGTCTTTAGCTTCTTTTTGTCGATTACGATGAACATCTCGATTTCGCAAGGCTGGGAACTAGATCAAAAATGGTCTTGGTCTTGATTTTCCAACGAGGGCAAAACCAAGTCCAGGGGCGAAATGACCAACTGGAAAATGCAGGGGAGGAATCGGCGCGAAAAGGTACTTCCCGAGAAGCGAGTGCAACGTCGGGCCGCGCAATTTATGGCGGTAAGAGGAGAAATTTCCAGTTCACTCGCAAAGGTAACTAGATGGACGCGGTTAACGATAACCTGACGCGGGGTAATGCGCGTCCACCATATAAAGAAGGATGATTTACTCGCCGGAGAGTCTCGGGAAAAGAAAGGGCAACCCCCGTCCCCCTAAAAGGGAGGGTGAAACGGGTCCTCGTCCGCGGTATTTACAATGCAGATTGCACAACGCACACCGTTACGTAGCACGGTCTATGCACCGAATGCGGAATCGCGAGTAACTCTTGAAACGGGGGAAAAAGTTGTTTAAAAAATTCCTAGATTTTTTCGTCAGGCCGACAATCGATTCCAAAAGTCATCGCGTGCACCGAGCGCTCTTTAATTTAAGGGCCGACGTTAATGAAATATGTCAGGGACGACAGACGAGCGCGCGCGTACTTAGCGGTGCACTTGCATTACGTTATACTTCAATGTATACCAAGGAACTCGGTTCTGCTCTCGAGCTCGATACTCCAGGTCGTTAGAGGGAATTTACCCCACGTATGCTTACGTACGAGGCGATTAGGAGGCGACATTCGCATCTCGGGAAATCACCGTAGGAATTAACGGTCGTTAGGAGCAGGCGCCGCAATGGCAGGGTAATTAGATACTGCCAACGGCGACCGTTTAATAATTTCCTGTCATTTTTCGCGCTCTACCGACGGACCTTCCAGGCAGGAAATGGGCTATTGCTCCCTTATTTTATTTATCTCAATTTTTTTTTTTCTTTTTTCGTCGCGACTCAAAGTACTCCCCGACTGCGACGTCGAAGCGTGCAACGACGCCTCCGGAAAATCGCTAAACGGCAGTCATAGTTTCATGATTCACGAGCGATACCCATTTAAAAAGCCACGTCCCGGCGATTCGTTCCGTCCTCGACGAGAGAATGGGAGAAAAAAAAAAGTTAGATAGGAGCTTATCCTTATCCTCGCTCCGGATGACCCCTTTTGTTTTCCCTTGCCTCCTGCACCGGAGAACCACCGATGCGGTCCGCCGCCATTACTCTTCCTCGCGAAAGGTCACTTCCATAAAGAATCCCTCGGCCGAGATCCTTAAGGCCCATTCGTCAAGAGAGCTCCCAACGGAGCTCGGCGGTATTACGTGCCCCGCGATTCTCAATCTTTTTTCCCCCCCATTTTTATCTCTTACCCTTTGCATCTTTTACGCGAGTCGATCGCGCAACGATTTCTCGGGAAGGTGCGAAACGACCGCGCGACGCTCTTCGCGAATTGTTTACTGGATGATTTTAGTACCCGACCTTCAGATTTATTAAAGATTAATTTCCGTAGAGATACGCGGGGATAAAAATGCCGCTTAGCTGCCGGGCGACCTCGAGAGCATTATTCCGAGTAAATTACTCGGCTACCGTTCGTAATCCTGGGGATATTAAAGATTAATTAGCGTTCGCACGGACAGGGAGGTTGATTTTTCCGGCGAGGAACGGCGCCGCGCCGTCCCTGAGCGTGGGTCGGCAGGCTCGTAATCATTCTGATTAATTGTTAAATGTGGGTGTTGTCGAGAGACGGATGACTGTCCTGCACTCGTGATTTTCCGAGCCCAAGGTGCTCGGACCCAAGGGAAGGTGGAAGACTCCTCGGCGAGGACGTCGGACGCCATGTTGGCGTCCCTTCAAATCTCCTCAGCAAGGTTCAAAAAACAGAAACAACGATCCATACGTGAAATAACCGAACCCAGATAGCAAGAGTACATTACAAAGTTACCCATAAACAATTAAGATCGATTCATACTCTCCATTTATATCCAGTTAAATACCGGACGATGCACATACACCCTCCACGTATACAAACGAATCCGATCCGCAAAATATGAACACTCCTAGAAACGTACGTGAAAATGTTAGCGTTGTCATAAAAGTTAAGATTCTTTTGGATGGTACGGATTAACCTTTATTAATTACACCTCGGAAAAGCAAAGATCGACGGACCTAGGGAGGATTCAGCGAGTCGGCGTTCCCGGGAAGCGCGTAAAAGCGGCGACCCATTTTTTAAGGGGGGTCAAACGATTTTTATGCAAATCGGGCCAGCTTGACAAAAGGACAAAGAAGATCGCGGCTGGTTACGCAAGTCAGGGAGTTTGGCGAGTTACGAGGAGTGTCGTACTCGGCGGGGTGTCCTTTGTCCAGCCGACGGGAAAGCAGTTGTCCGGGCCGAGTTCCCTGCAGGGACGACATGGATATACGACTAAATATACGAGGCCGTTTTAACGAGCAATGCAAATATACGTCATTAGGCCTCGTTGGGCTCGTTTCGCCACTATTTGTCTTTATAGCTCGAGAATTGCGCGTTCGCGTCTTCGGCACCCGCCGAAGAGGGCCGTTTTCCTGCCATCTCGGTTCCCTCCTGCCTTCCCGCCGACCCCCAGCAAATCTCGGTTTTTAACGCGGAAGGGAGCTCGTCGAAATCGCGAAATAGGCAAAGCCCACTCTCCGGGGTCGCTTTCCTCGCCGAGATAAATCAATCCTCCCGATACGCGCGCCGTTGGGATTTATCGCCGGGAGGACTTTCTTGCTCCAAATAAATTCAACCCGGCCGCTATAAATCCCAGCCACGACGGCTATCGAGGGGAATGATTGATTCCGACGAGGGGGCCTTTTTACCCCACGTGGTAGCACGAGTCTCCGGAGTAGCCCAAGAGGACGGGAAGGGGCGTCGCGTCGCCTGGTCGTTGACACGTCGTCGCCCGAGGTTTTCGCCATCGCCGAGGGGACCGCGAATTTAACGCCAAGCTTGCTGCTGACTTCGGTCGTTTCCCGGGCTCTCGGAATTTGTGTCACGCGCGAAATTCCCTTCTGGGTTCACGCGAGGTCGCGACAAAGCTTCTGAACTCTTCCGCCACGGCGCCGACGATTCGGCCCCGTTGTCTCGGATTCGTGCATCGTCTCTTCTACGAGTCTTCTTCCGGATTTTGGTCGAGTCCCCTGATCACCCCTGTTCTCGGAGTCCCTGCAGAATGTAAATGCAGTCGCGTTAATGGGACGGGACAACTCGAGGAGGGGTTAGGTTCTCGCATCCCGGGAGATCGGGAGCGGAGATACGTCGTCTCCGAGAAGACCGACGTCTTGGTTCGACTTTACGACGAGGCGTCTCCAATTCGCGTCTAGACCGGGCATTAGCCTGCCGCGGCTCTCCTCGACAGAAAAGAAGGAAGAGGATGAAAAAGGACCGCAGGAAACGTCCGCAGGAAATTCGACTTTAGGATTCGTCACCGCCTCGGCCCACGCTTTTTGCCCCGCTTGCAGCCCATCGCGTGTCGCGCGACGCAGGGCAGCCAGTGCATTTCCGATTATGCAAAATGCAAACCGCAACGTGAGTCAAGCCCGAGGCGCGAGAGAGCCGCCCAAACGCGATTACTCATTCGCCTTCCACAAAGACCCTTGCGACTTCTCCGGATCGCGAAACCGGCACGTTTCGACCACTGTGGCGTTTGTTTCCGGCGAGTCTGAATTTCGGTCTCCGGGACATAACCTAAAATTCTCGCTCGATCGCCGAAGTTAAGCAACGTCGGGGGCGATCGGCGCTTGGATGGGTGGTCGCCTGAGAAGATCCTTTGCGTGACGACGGAACAAAAACGAACAACTACATATTCAAGTGGTACAACTACCATTATTGAAGAGATAATGAAAATTGGCTGAGGTGTCGGAAAGATACTACAGGGCAAAATAATTGAAATAAGCGGAATAAGCGCTGATGACGCTGGACCAACGTAACCTGAAACGGTGATATTTTTTTTTTCGATCGAGGGATGAAGAAAGGCACGGTTGCTCTTCAGACCGATGTCAGGACCGACGAGGACTGGGAAGAGGTCCTGGAACGTCCAGGATTGGTCGTGGTGGACGTGTACTCCGAATGGAGTGGTCCTTGCGCGGCCATGGTGAGTACCTTGAGGAAGGTCAAGATGGAGCAAGGAGGAGAGATCCTCAGTTTCGCCATCGCAAGGAACGACGATATTTCCGCCCTGGAGAGGTTTCGGGGGAAAAGCGAGCCCGTCTGGATGTTCATTCAGAACGGGAAGATGGTGAATTCGATGTTTGGGGCCCATTGCCCGAACATGCAGAGACTGCTGGTGGAGGAGATCCGAAGAGTGCAGCAAGGGGAACCTTCGAGGTGGGCCATCCCCGTTACCCAGAGGGGACCCGAGGAGGAAGTTCGGTGGCAGGCCAAGGAAGCGATTAGGTAACTCGAAAGTTCCCTGTATAATGTTTAAAAAACGACTTCCTCCGACTTCTGTGTTTAAGAAAGGCTCAAGAGGACGCGCAGCTCGCGCTGGAGGAAGCCGAGAAGAGGACGAAGTACGAAGCCTTCCTGGCTCAGATGACGTTCGAACTCTGCGAGGAAACCGCGGTCCTTTTGTATCCTTGGATCTTTTTGGACGAGGAAGGCAACCAAAAGGACAAGAACGCGTGCCCTGCTTACACGGAACTAGTAAACGAACTCTTGAAAGAGTACTACGACGTGGCCGAGTCGGTTTCCTTTCAACTTGATGAGGAGACCATTGAGAAGATGTTCGTCGAGAGCGACGTTGAGATCACCGAGGAACTCGTCGAAGGTCCTTGAAAAATTCTGATCGAATAATAATAGGTAGAGAGTGAGAAAAAATTTAGGCATTATTGATGGTTATTGAATTATTTAGGGCTGACGAGTGGCAAGTGTCTGATCATGAGGCTGAAGGGAAAACCACCGCATCCTTCCTGGCCCGTTCCCTACCCCAATGAGTGTCCTGAGGAAATCGGCAAAGAAAATTGTCCCGTGAGAGCGATCAACGATGTCGAGAACTATCTCCTCGAAATCCTGAATAATGGCCCGCAACCACCGCCCTCTTGGTCCGAGGATCAGACCCCACCTCCCAAACCCGAAGGAGGTCCTTACGTCTCTAGGCACTTCTACCTCCACGAGCCAGATCCTGAAGTCGAAGAAGACGTCGAAAAAATTTATCCCGCAGTCTGGGCACCCCCACAGGTGACATCGTCCAATGATATCAAAATGACATCGCGAAAGAGCTGTTTTATTTTCAATTGCTATCAGGCCAGGAGCAAGGTGCACGTCTTCAAGACCATTTTCTCCGGCTACATGGACAAGTCTCATCCTTACTTCGAGCCTGTGCCTCCATTGCCGTTGTGTGCCTTCAAATTCGACGCTTCGAAACTTCAAGCAGTCTCCGATGCTTTCATTGCCCACCAGTTGGCAATCGAATGTTTCGGAGTTTTCGAGTTCGACAGACCTCCACTTGCTCGAAGGATCGCCTCAACGCCTCAAAACTTCGAAGCCAAGGTCTCGAATCCCCTTCCCATTTTTTAAGGAATTCCCTTTGAATTCACCCCGAAGCTGATAAACCCGATTAATCCTAAAAAGGCGAGACACAAAACCGGAGGCGAGGTCTTCGTGGTGATCATTCGCAGAGTCAACGAGGAAGCATTCCTGGCGTTCGCCGGAATAGAGCCCTACTTTGTCACAGAGGACACCGAAGAGGCTGAGAAAATGATCGAGCAATATTTCCCCGAAGGCGTGGTGGACGCCACCCTCGAAGAGCCCGTCGTCGACGGTGAGGAGGAAGAATCCTTCGAAGAGGAGGAGGAGGACGTCGAAGAGGGAGAAGACGAGGAAGAGCAGGAGAATGAGGGCGAAGCATTCTTCGACGATGATTTTTAGGAAGGTGACCACCGCGTCCCTGGAATTCCACTTAAAAAAAAATTACAAATGAGCCCCCGAATTTTTTTTACAGGAGAAGAAGCTGGCCCTACCGTTTATCGTATTTTTTCCTCACCTGCGGCTCGACGGAATGAATCAAGAGGAAGTGTCCCACAATCGAGCGTATCGACTTTTCATTTTACGATCGCGCTTAAGAGTTTCATCGATCGTCTTTTACGACAGGTCTGACTCATGACCTTATTCATGAGTATCCTTAGGTACCTCCGTTTTATGCCGCGACTTAACCGAGTTTACGCCGCGTATTTCTGTGGTCTTTTCCACGCGACGACGCACCTGGAAAATACATATCGCTACATCGATATCGTTCGTAGGATCGGCGTGAAAATTTTCCTCAGATTTTCGGAGCCGAACTCTCGAAGTCGATACCGCGCCTCTGTCGAAAGCTCGCGATTGGGTGTAAATGTAGAATGCAAATGTAGACGATCCTTACGTAAGCTTGGCAGAGCTCCAGGTGGGTTACCCGTCACCCTTCGTGATGTAAACACCGAAATTCCGTAAGGCGTTTAATCGCCATTAAATCTCGAGGTGAGTTTGGCCATTTTATCCGACAAGCTCCCACGATGGTCGGAAAAGCCTCGATCGTTAAACGAAAGCCACTTGGAAAAATGTTGAACGACATCGCCCGCACGAAGGGAAATTGACCGGCGCCGGTGCGAGGAGTTTATTAAGCGAATATATTATGCAAGTAAAGGAGCTGTAAAAAGTGGGATTTACAACCGAGAGGGGCAATTTACACCTATCAAGGGGATCGCGCGTCATTAACGCCCGCAGTCCCGTTTCCATTCGCGGGACTCGGTTTTCTCCACGTTTTTCTCCTCGTTTTTCTTCTATAAAATCGCTCCTTAACTTCACCTTCCTCTTTTTTTTTCTTTCCCCACTAGTCCATCTGCGTCGTGCAAAAGGTCGCTAGTCAGGAATCCGGAGAATGCGGTTCATCGGTGGGCTCCGATTGGCCGAGAGATCTCTAAGGGAAAAAAGCCAGAACCCAAGAACTTTGAGCCAATAAGCATTGATCTTTCTCCTCTCTAGGGGACCCTGGAGCTCGGATTCATCCTTGGTCTTCTTCAGGCGTCGGACTAGAGGTCGGGGAATAATTAAACGATTTTTTTACCCCCTCGTTATGCTCGCGCCTCTCCGTTATTTCATCTCGGCCAACGCGAAGGAGCGCCACCCGACGAGTCGATTCCGAGTGAGCTGCGTCACGCATCTCTCATTGTTTATCTTTTATTTATTTCCTTTTCCGAACAAAGGAAACTGTTCCCCATTCGCCGAATTTCCGTCAGTCGCGCTTCACGGAAATTGCAGACTCAAGGGACGAAGAAGTTGGAGTTCCCTGGAAAAGCTTCGATATATCTCGCGGGCCTTAAACCGCGACGAGATCGCCGAGTGATCGAGTCGATTCCATGAATTAATCGATAAGGAGAGAAAGATCGGCGATTCGTCGGTAGAAAACGTCGAGGTCGGCGGAAACTCGGAGAGCCGCAGTTGAGAGGAACGCGCGGCGGGCTTGGAGAAAAGAATATAAAAAAAGGGAATAAATCGATCGACAAAGAATCGCCACTTGACGTAGGATCAAAAATAGCAGTTTCTGCTCCAGGAAAGCTGACGTTTCCGTAAACACGGATGCAGCTGCGACAGGCTTTGGCCTCGCCAACTATAAATCCAGCCGAGTGACATTTAACGCGTCGCGCAGCGCCCGAGCGTGCCGGGACGTCGCGACGCTTCTGACACAGAAGTACGTCCCCACGCGACCGGAGGACTCCCTCCACCTCTCTAATTTCTTTTTAACCCTCCTTTACGGCGAACTTCCTGCCGACAGGCTACGCAAATAGGAGTCGCGAAGCCTCCATCGTCGCCCCGTGAATTGATTGCGTCGCGACGCCCGCGAATCGGCGACGTCGCGGCGAGGTCTCCTCTTTTCGGCCTTATTAAGGACCCTGGGCGTTTCCTTAATCAGGGCGAACTCGACTTTGTCGAGGAACGCGTGCCTCAAAGGGGGGTTAAAATTAATAGCGCCGTTTCTGGCGAGTACACATGAGTCAACGTGGCAGAATTCGCCGCTCCATTTTTCCCGTTCGTTCCCTCTCGGATGTGTTTATTCTCTAGGGTCCGCCCGTAAGTACTCGCGTCATAAGTGCTCGACGAAAGGGCGATAACGAATCATCGGGATGCCCTTTTCGGGCCATTTCGTAGGCCGGAATCGAGTAGAGAGAGCCACGTGGTCCACGTGTGCAGGCGTGGAAGACTCTGACCCCTTCTGGGAGGCGCACAAAGGCCGACCCAGCGCTCGGAATGCCGAGGGGATTCCTTCGCACCAACCGCGTCGGCGGCGAGATTTTTCTTTATGACCCTCGCCACCGGAGAAGTCTCGAGGGGAAACAAATGGGACTCGGTTTGACGAGTAAGAGGGTCGTCAGAGGCGAAATTCGAGGGAGCGCCGACGCCGGGATTTCGGACGACGCAATATTCAGCGTGCCGAAAGAAAGGCGCGCGAACGAGGATCTTCTCATTTGACGCGTTACGAATCGCGGTAAATCGCGTCGAATCGCGGCGTCCAATGGCCCGCGAGTTAACCCTCTCCGCTCGAAGCGCGAGCGGAGGGACAACCCTCGCGGTTCGAAGGTCGCGTCACGACTCCGACCGACTGCGACCCGTGGCGCCCGCAACCTGCGGGCTCGGGGCGCCGCCGCTCCCCGGCCGCTGATTGGTTGCCGCCCGCGGGGTGGGGGGCGCGCGTATATAAACGACGCGCGGGTGTCGCCGGAGCTCAGTCCACGTTCGCACGTGCGGTGTGCGGGATTTCTGCTCGGTGCACACCGAAGCGTCCCATATGCTGTCGTCTCCTGCGACTCCCGAGTTTCTCAGTGCGTATCCGATACCGGTAACGTCCCGCCCGTCGTATCGATTATCGTATTTACGGAAGTAGATCGAGTTCGGTTTCGAGGGACCCGAGTGGATTCGACCAGTGTACGTCGCGTCGTACATGCCTCGAGTCTAGGTCTTCAACTTTGGACAGTTCCTTGAAGTATGGTGACGGGAAGAGAATCAGCCGTAACGCGACCAGTGGAATGAGGTTAGGGTCCGACCTGAGAGAAAAGCGGTCATAAGGAGACCGCCGGGCCTTACAGGGCCGCCGACCTGACCGGTGTCATCTGTCATGACAATGGTCGTCAACAAGATCAACATGTCGTCGTATTCCACGCCGCGGCGCACTTTCTTCTCCGGGCTTCATAATAAGGTAACCCTCCCCTCTAAAGCATCTCAAAGTTAATTCGTCCGCTTCGGCTTAAAAAACGGCGTCCAAGTATTACTATACTATTTATAGTACCGGGGTGAAATATAGCGCGTTAATTCGCCGAAAGTCGGGGGTCGACCGACATTCGCGCTCACTGAGAAGGATTCATTGAACCGAGAGATACTTCCTTGAATGTTCCTTCCCCAAAGAAATATTCGATGAATTAAAAGAATAATTCTTTCACTCGAATAAACCTCAAATAAACTACCATAATTCCGAGGAAACGTTGCATCCAATTTATTAGAGTTTATTCGGGTCAATCAATTATTCTCGTACCATTCGAGGAAACATTTCTTTGGGTCGAAGACAATTTTTCTCTCGGAAAGACAATCATTGTCGATTTTTATTTTTCTCCCCCTCCATCATTTTTTTTTTTCCATTCCTTTTCTCCACTCCCTTAGTAGGATATGTAGCCATAAATGCGTCGACCTTGCGCCACGCACCCAAACGATCGACCCTCGACGCCGATCGGATCTTGCTGCCAAACACTGGCTCGACTGTTTTGCGACTTTACGAGCGAGAAACGACACCGGGCACGCCTGCGGATTCTTGCGAGATCGCCACCACCGGCATCCTCGAGGTTACTCGATCGGAGGTCTTTCAAGGATTTCTCTCTTTTATTTTATTTTTATTTTTTTTTTCTTTTAAATGTATTCGGGGGGAGTTCGTTTATGGAATTGTATCACGTACTTGAGCTGCGCGAGGGAAGGGACCGAGTTTCCCTCGGTGGTCGATTCGTCTTGTTTAGACGTTACTTTTTCTGTAAGGCTCGAGGCGCCGATGTGGAGTGCTGTACGCATGTCGAGAACTCTACTACGATCAAGAATAATTACATTTTTCCGCGGATCTAGAGATTTCATTGAATTTGGAGACTCGTTCTAAACATATTTTTTTATTTATCAGGAAAACTATGCAGATAGACCCTGTCTGAGATACCGGAATATCTCTGCGGTAGAAGGGAAATATAGACTCGAGGGTAATCACGGTGATTGTTTTTTTTTTTTAACACATTTGTGTAACTGTGGTGTAATACATTCTATGATAATCAAGAGACGAGTACTTCTGCTTAACCTATGTTCTGAATTTTTCCGAACACATTCTTCCTTGGTAATCGAATAAAATAATGAATCATAAAGAATGAATACGTTGTGCTGCCGGGGTCTCATGATATATGGAATGCCGTTCGGATACCAGGAGACCGCCAGATTTCTCGTCCCCTTTTTACGGCCCTCTAACGGCTCGGCCGAAAAACCGTTCCCGGTTGGCCTCTTACAAAGGGGCCTTTTCATTTTCCCGAGGGGGCCTTTTAATTTCCTCGAAAGAAACGCGACTCCGCTCGTGGCCGACGTTTCTCTTACGCGGAGTTGGCTCCTCGCCACCTAGTCGACTCTCTGTCTCTCTTTCTCTCCTCTATACCCGATGCGCGTCGGCCTTAAAGAAACACCTGGTGGCTTACGTAAGGAGGCCGCTCGCGTTATTCGGAAGCGGCCGTTTGTCGCCCCCTGGGCCGACTTATTTCCCCTTTTTCGTGATTCCGGGAGTCTCGGGGAGATTCGTCATTCGGGGAAGAATGACACGAGGGCCGATTCGATCCGCGACGACATGTTCCGGGAGGTGGTGGTTTAATAGGAGAGCGTACATCTCGTGTTTCCTTGGAAGGCGAAATCGGAACCTCCTGGCCGATGGTCCGCGTAATCGGGTTGCGAGGCCTCACCTGGCACGCTCGGTTGACGAGAAGCGCCGCGTAATCATAACGCAGGTATGGAAAGAGAAAAGACAGAGACGGGGGGTGGAGGCGAGAGAAAGGAGAGAGAAAGGGAGGCCGACCCTGGCGACCCGACATCCGCCACGTGGGCGGCGGTCGGCCCTTCGGAGGAGGAAAGAGAAAAAGCGGAATTGTTGTCGGCGCCCTAAACCGGTGGTGTAACGAGGGGGGAATGGGAGCGGAGGGGAAAAGAAGAGGCCTCGTTGTGGCAATCAAGGCCCGGAGTTGCGCTAAATTGCCGGGAATTGGGAGACGGGAACGAGGCGGACCTTTCGGGAGCGTTTTAGAGAGGAATACTTGGATCGAGTTTAAAGGGCCGGGGAATTTAGTAGATTCAGAGTCGACATTGTATCGATACAACGGGGATAACGGAAATTAGGGCACCTTGGGTATGTTCGGAGTAACAGATTATACCCTAAAAGTACAATAGCAGATATTTCACTCTTCTGCTTATTGGCCCGGAGCAGGATCAAAGAAGGATTAGTTAGGTTACGCGGATTCCGAGTAGGGTTGAAATTACTCGGGGATGATTACCTAGGATCTATAATTTTTCTTATCACTGAGAAAACGTACTCGTCGAATGTATCCAATTTTTCTGCCGAAAGTAGCGAAGCGACACCGCAAATGTGGCGAGCCGCAAAATTTGTCGGTGAATTTAACGGAGCCAATTTTCTCTAGCCCGGTCAGGGTGTCGTTTTCTCGGGGTAGAAGTTCGACCTCGCCCAACGTACATCGCGGAGGGGAAGAAATTCTTTTTATTCGCGCGGGAATTTTCCGCCGGAATTAGATTCTCCCGACGTCGAGTGGTGATCGAGTCGCGATCGAGTCGCGATCGAGTCGCGATCGAGTCGCAATTGAGTCGCAATCGCGGGATGAGTCGCGCGTAATCGGTATCCGGAAGAGGGTAATGGCGAGTCGACCGGGCTCGGGGCGAATTGGCCAATTATCGGTCGTGATTCTTTGAGATAGACGTCATGCCGGGGAGGAGGGAAGAAGGAGATCCGAGGAAGAGAACGCGTCTCGCTTTGACGAAAAACGCCGTCGAGGAAAAGGGGGGGGAAAAAAAGGAAGAAAGGGCGGACACTTTGTGCCGGATGCGCTTAATCCCGGGGGATATGATGCCACGCGAGATGGAGAGAATCGCCGGAGTGGCCGTAGCGGTCGTAATTGCGGCGCCGGCCGGGCGCATGAATGAAACACCTCCATCTTGGAGCGACTTCAACTTAAGGTCCTCTTGAAAATCGGATTATTAAAAGACCCACCAGATCGACCTTCGAATCGCGCGTTGCATAACGTCCGGTGTAGACCGGGATACCTGGTAAATCTCCGAAGACGAGTAATTTGTTGCTTCTAACGTGCTCGGCGGAGAGGAGTAGAATAGAAATTGGTACCGTGGACGTCACCGGACGTCATCGACGTCACGGAGAAGACGAGTTTAGATCGTTTATCGTTCCCCGTCCATTTGGCCGGCGGTCGGTATTCCCCGGATTATTTTCGCGGGATTGTTTGTTTCTCTTTTGCGACTCTCGTCTCGGGTTCCCGCCGACGAGGAAGACGTATCAAAAAATTCAGGTTCTACTAGTGAATTAATTCCCGCGAATTTGCACTTGGTGCCGTTGGAATTCTTACAAAATGACGTTTTTCCGGGAGTCTTTTATTTTCTAAGGCGGACACTCGAGTCCGTGCACAACTTCAAACATTGATAATTCATATTTGGGATCGTTCGAATTTTTCTGGGAGTCCTTTCCTCCTATGGGTGGGCACCTGACTCCGTTCAAGGTTCCTTCGTCGCTGAGACAATCCATTCCTCTCGGGTTGAAATCGAACGATCGATCGATCAATCGATCGTCCGTCAACCGTGCAGCGAGAGTCCTCGATGGACGCGCGTCGGACCGATCGATCGATCGATCGATCAATTGACGCAAGCGAAGATGCCTAATTAGTTCTCGCTGCCAACGCCTCGCGAATTCTAACGAGTGTTTGCCCCACCGTTTCACTTTTGGTCTTACGCGATCTTCGCACGATCGAGATTTACCTTACCACCGCTGAAGAAGTTTCGCATGAAAAAAAAAAAAAAAAAAAAAATATGTACAAATATTAACCTTTCCACCAATTTTCTGCGTGATTTTTCCGAACATCCAGAGGTTATTAATTTCGGAAACAAATCTTTACAATTGTAAACGAAGCACTGATCTGTCGCGGCATGGCGGCGTTTCCAGGGCGCGGATGGGTGAAAGATCTCCCGTAGGAACACACCTTCTTCCTCTTGCTTCGTTCCTCTAGATCCAGAGTCAAGGATGGACGTCGGCGAAGGATTCGCCGCACCCTCGGGAAAACTCGGCCGACCGAAGGTCGATCGAATCGCGCGCGATTCCGCGACGAGTGCCGTAACCACCGTCCATGACTAATTACCGGCGCATCCATGCCATGGCTAATGGTCGGGTATTTTTATCCGACTGCCTTCGCCTTGACTCGCCGGGGGACGTCCCGCGGAGGGAGGTAAAGATAGAAGGGACGGCGAATCGCGTGCGTTCACCTCGGCTTCGATTACGTCGTCTAATTCGGTCGTTTTCCCGATTTAGATGAAAAGCCCGCGAGATCGATTGCACTCCACCCGCTTCGGTTTGAAATTACGTGAAATCGGACAAGAAGAAAGAAAAAAAAAAAAATCAGATAGCCAGCACTCCTCTCCCCTCGGCTTCTACCCGACCACGTGTACCCAGTTTGGAAAACCATACGTCATAATTGATATATACGATTTATATTAATATTCTATATTGTATCACATCGTCCGTGCAATTTTCGCGTCCATAAATATATATCTCGATCAGTCCATATATATATATATATATATATAGGCTTCCCCATGGGGAGTTCCCTTTAATAAGTCCTTAGTTTATCTCTTTTTCTCTTGTTACCTCCTCGTTGTCCAGAGACACCGCGGATAATATAATTCCTCTCGGCCGGTCGATTAGATTGGAATTCCGAGTCCAGGGAATCGATCGAGGTCCCTCCCAGGGGATGAGTCTGGACGCACCTCGAGGAGGCTTATCGTCTCGACTGGCCCACGCCGGTCGGTCTCGTTGCGTTATCAACGGAGGTGCCAATAAGGGCCCGATAAATCATCTCGTGATAACGACCGGTCCTGCCCTCTCGCTGCCGCGCCTCTCTCGGTGCA